TAATTAAACATTGTTAATTATAATGTATTATATTATTTATATTTTAAGAAAATAGGTATTTATTGATTAAAAATAATTTACTACATTTATTGCTAATTAATAAGTGTAAATAATTTAATTTAAAAGGGGAGGGTCAAAATTGATCGCCAACAATGATAAATAAAGATGCGGGGATGTATACAAGTACTCATGAGATGTTCTCTAAGCATGGTATATGCGTGTGTATAATGTATGATTATAACTTCAGCATGTAATTCATTATTCAATAACCATCAAGTCCAAATAAAGCATCAAATGCCTAGACATGGTCTCTAACCAAGATAGTAAGGTTCAAGTAGTCATACAACAGTATAAGGCTTATCATAATTATATTAAGTGCGGATGTGTGACTACGGATAAATAAAGTATAACAACAATCTTAAGGATAGCCTATCATTCTCAGATTAGGTATCATTAACGTAAATAATGTCTCTAGCATGATTCATTTTATTCACGTAGTGTAATGACCCGGTGAGTTGTTTTGTGTATTGTGGTCTTGTTCCCGTTCCGACTTCAAATCGACCTTCAAACCCTCAATTTATAGTTTTGAAAATTTTTCACAAAATTCCCCAATACCTCCAACTCAAAACATTAATTAAATAATAAAAACAATGATAGAATCATGAATAATAAGGAAATCCGAGTCAAAAATACTTACCCCGATACAATCCTCGAAAACCCCCTCCAAAATTTTCCAAAACCGAGCTCTCTAACTCAGTGTGATAAATGAGATAAAACCCTCGAAGAAGCAATTTCTGCACAGCGAATTTCGCTTCTGCGGCCCTCAGAGTCGCACCTGCGACGTTGCTTCTGCGGTTATATTTCCGCAACTGCGGATTCCACTTAGACACCCGACCAAGCGCATATGCGGCTAAACTGGTGCACCTGCGGGACCATTCTGCGATCCTACATTTGCTCATACGCGTCCGCACATGCGGATAACCTCCGCTTCTGCGACTCCAGACCGTCCTGGCCATTTCCGCTCCTGCGACCAAATCCCTCGCACCTGCGGGCTCGTAGATGCGGAAAGCTCCTCGGATATACGGTCTCTGCTAAGCCCAGCTACTCTTCGCTTCTACGATAGGTTTGTCGCTTCTGTGACTTCGCACATGCGGTCAAGACCTTGCAGGTGCGATCACATTAGAAGCCTTAAGCTTTAGCAACTCCTTATGTCCAACCTCCATCCGATTTCAATCTGAATTACACCCGAGGCCCCCACGGGACCCCATCCAAATATACCAACATGTCTTAAAATATTATATGAACTTAGTCGAAGCCTCAAATCACATCAAACAACATCGAAATCACGAATCGTACCCTAATTCAAACCTAATGAACTAAGGAACTTCCAACTTTTAAATCTAATACCGAATCATATCAAACGAACTCCGAATTAGCTTAAATTTTGCATGCAAGTCCCAAATAACACAACGTACCTATACCAACTCCCGAAATTATAATCCGAACCCGATATCAATAAAGTCAACTCTCAGTCAAACCTATCAACCTTTCAAACCTTCATCTTTCCAACTTTTACCAATTCAAGCCAAAATGATCTACGAAGCTCCAAATAAATATTCGGGCATACGCCTAAGTCCAAAATCATCATACGAAGCTATCCGAATCATCAAAACTATATTACAAAGTCGTCTATATAAAAGACAAACTCTGATCAACTCTTCCAACTTATGCTTTTAACCTTGGGACCAAGTATCCTAATTTACTCCGAAACTCACCCGAAACCAGGCCAACCACCCCGGCAAGTTACATAACTACAATTGAACATAGAGAATGCAATAAATATGAGAACGGGGCTGAAATACTCAAAATAACCAGTTGGGTCGTTACATTTGCTTCTCTCTCTTTTTTCATTTTATTTCTCCTTTTTTCTTCAAGGAATTCATCAATAGATTTCAATCGTTTGACTAGGAGTTTTACCTTAGTAATTTTATTTCCTATTGCACAGTTGGTTTTAGAATTGAAATTATCAATCAATAAATTCTGAAGGTATTTGACTCTGCACATTGACAGCCATTAAGAAACTTAGAAGCTTTGAATTTGACTTGAGGTTTCTAAATATGTTGTTTGTTTGAATTGGGTGTTGTTGAAAATGATTTGGGATATTCGTTGGAGTTTATATCTCAATTTTGAGGGTATTTGGTAAAGACTAGATTTGATTTTATCTGGATTTTCAGATTGAAACTCGAAAAAGAAGAAGAAGAAGAAGTTATATACAATATACATACAAAATCGTATTAAAGTTGTATGAAAATTGTATTTAAATTGTATTCTATTATAATTATCCTTTTTTTGCTTCAATGTTAGTATGAAACTTGGAAACAAGTTGTATATTATATGAATCGTTGTATAAAATTTATATTTAAGTTACAAAGACTCTCTTTTTACATAAAATTATTGATATGTATAAAAAATATCTTAAAGTTATATAAAGATTGTATATCAGTTGCATTCTGTTGTAAATTGTTTTAATTTTTTATGATTGTTACATGAAAGTTGTATTAAATTTGTCATACCAGGTTGTGCCATTGTCTTGATTATTCCCCAATTTTTCCATAGGTATTCAGAAATAAAAACTTCTCTCTTTTGGTGAAGTTTCCCCTGACTTAAAATATATACTCAAGGAGTGTATTTCACAGGCATATCTGGACTAGAGACGGGGCTTTTGTTTCCTCGGAATAAAATCAAAGTACATTAATGTCCACTCAAAAAGGAGCTTATGAAGAACTTTAATCTGGAGGGGGATCCTATGTTGATGTTCCTATGTGTTAAGACAAAATTTCAAAATTTAATATCAATTAACAAATTCAAATCAGTTGCGAAGAAGAGGGAGATGGGCGGTAGTAGAAGAACAAGAGAGGAGAGGAATGAAGAAAAAAAAGATATATGTAATTGAATCCCTTAATTGAAGGCACTAATTATGGTTGGGAGACTTTTAAGGGAAAGTATACAATTTGTAAAGAGAATCTACTTAGCTCTAGTAAATAGGAAACTTTAGACAATCGGCGTCATAAGGTGGGCTAAAGTGCGTGTAGCTATTTCGGAAAAAATATTTTTAAAACTATTTAAATGTAAGGCTCACACGGCGGTATAAGGAAAGATTGTGATTGAAATTGATTCTTGTTGTATACAAGCTGGTACCTCGGTTGTGATTCAGGTTATATACGAGGCGGTACCTCGGTTGTGATTCTTGTTATGCATCTCATGTTGAAAAGAGTTATTGGTGGAATAGTTCTTGTTGCCTTTGTTTTTCCTTGTCTTATCAGTTTTGTCCGTATTTGACTATTGTGGTTCTCTTTAATTGCTTCCTTTATGTTATCTCTATGCTTACAATTCTGTCATCAGTCTATGTTATTAACTTGTTTCGTATCATTTATTTCTCCGTTTCCCATTATTTCTCGTTATTATAGTTTCGTTCTGTTTATTATGTCCTAGTAGGTGTCTTGTCCTGGCCTCGTCACTACTATATCGAGGTTAGGCTTGATACTTACTGAGTACCGTTGTGGTGCACTCATACTACACTTCTGCATATCTTTTTGTGCAGATCTAGGTACGTCTGCTCGTGCTGGATGTTATTGATTGACTATTAGCTGCCTTCCGGAGACTTCAAGGTATACCTACTCGGCGTCCGCAGGCCTAAGAGTCACCTTCCATATCATTTCATCTTGTTGTTTTTTATTCAGACAATGTTATAGTAGACATTCTAGATTATTCTGTAGAGCTTATGACTCAGTTCCACCGGTTATGGGGGAGTTATGGTTTAGATCCTATTTTAGAAGTTTATATGAGTTTATCAGTCTTGCTTAGTATTTCTGTTGATTATTTCTGTTAAGTTATTATTAAAAGTTAGGCATACCTAGTCTTAGAGACTAGGTGCCATCACGACATCATATGGTGGAAAATTGAAGTCGTGACACGTGTCCATAATAGTGTTCACATACTCCTTCCGGTCCACTTTAATTAATTTTTGGCCTTCTTTTGTGGTCCACAATATTCAATTTATTCAGATATCAAGAAGGAATTAACTTCTTATTTTCAAAGTTATCCTTAGTAAAGAGTCTTGGAGTATTTGTTATGTTTTCAATGAATAAATCAAAGGGATAGTAAAAGTTAATATGGTTAATTTTATTATTAATTAATGTTAAAATATGAATTTCTTAATATGTATGAAAACAAGCAAAAAATCAATTAAAGTGATAAAAGTAGAAATAGAATTCCATATCCGTTGTGGTGCTTTGCTCCCTCCGGTTCGTTGATCTATGGGCATACAAGTCTTTTCCGGAAATAAATGATAGCTACCTTTGTCCCTCACAACACCACCCTTGAAGCTGAACCAACTTCTTATGCTCGCCACTTCATTTGCCAAAGTCAAACGGTTGTTGTTTCTTCTCCGCTCTTTTTTTTCCTACATATGCGACGGCAACAGAGAAGAGGACTTGAAAATGAGTGAGATTCGATTATTTTTCCTTTGTAGTTTTTGTTTTGTCATTTTTTTTTTCCGTTGGAGGGAGTAGTAAATAACATTTGAAATGCATCTCACTTTGCAAACGTCTTTAAGTTCATATCGCTATTTTGTAAAAATTAACCTTAAAATTCTTTCTTTTGAAATTGTTGACCAAACTCTAATTTTAATCTTAAAGTCACTCACCACATTTCCCTCATTCTTCTTCTTAAGCTTTTTCTTTTGGGAGACATCAATATAGACAAATGGCATCCGTCCACACTCACCTCATAAAATAAACAAAAACTAAATAACCCATTATGTCGAGATAAAGTCCAAATTTTTATGGTGCAAACAGTGTGAAGGCAGTTTAGTCATTTCATAACCTTGTGACATGTGGATTTAAAAATATTTAAATTTAAGGTTGGTGTTAAGGAACCAAAAAAAAAAAAAAAAGGACCAATTGAATTGAATTTAGGAGGCTGTCACGTTGACACACCCACCCAACCTCTCAAGACACCTTTTTTTCAAAATGCAGTGAGTTGTGTGTACAGTGAAAGTCCAAACACATCAGAAAAAAGAGAATTAAAGCAAAGGCTGTTCCCTTCTCCATTCTTTTGCATTTTGCTTTTGACCCTTTCTCTATTTTCACTTCCTATTTCCTCTCTTCTTTGCTCTACAAATCTTGAGAATTTCTGGGGGTTTAGTTTAATTTTATTTGAATTTTTTCATATATTATTGGTGGGTTTTTGTGCTAGATCGATCTTGGCTTTGAATGCAATCATTTGAAGCTGTTAACTGCTTCTTTGTAGATCAATATCTAATGGGTTTCCATTAGATTTGCTAGCTTTTGCTTACTCCAGTTTCTTTCTGAGGAGTCAAAATTGAATATTTTGAGGAGTTTGCTGTGCAAAAATCGAATCTTTGAGGATAAATTCCTGAAACTTTGGGGGGCCAAAATTAAATTTATAGAATGGTATAAGAATTGGAAATGATGTTGATATTGGTGAGTGTGGTGTGATTGATGAGTGAGGAGCCACTATTTGTTGTTTGCTGCTGTCCCCTCCATTAGGTTTGGCAGATAAGCAAGGCCACTGACTGGGACCTCTTGAAGAAAGAGAAAAAAAGTTAGCTTTTTGATTCAATTATTAGAATCTTGATTGTGTTGTTAGAGCTTTACTTTGAAGGAAAAAAATGGCACAGAGAGTTAAGGGTGCGCCACCCCTTCAGTCTATCAAATCACTGCCAGTGGGATATGCATTTGATTTGAACAAGTCTGAGGCTGTGAATCATAGAATGGCATCAAATGCTGCTGTTTCCAAGAATGAAGAATTGTCGAGTGAGGCTAATGGTAATGCTGATGGATATATTGATGAATCCCCTTATGGTAGATTGAACTTTTCTGTAGAGGAAAGCCCGTCTAGCTGTGATGATGATCGGAGAACCAATGCATTCGCCTCGTCCAAGTGGAGTGACACCACGTCTTATGTGACAAAGAAGGTATTGAGATCAATTTTTAATGAGTTGTGCTTGGTTTGTTGGTATTATGCAACTTGTAGATTTGAAGTTTCCGTTAGTCTGATGATTGCTTGATTGAACTAGCCACAAGCCATATTTGTGATCATCATTAATGCCTTCAGCTTATAACATTATCTGCTTAATTTCATAAACCATTTGATGAGAGTTGTCAATTATGGTGTTTTTGCTCGGCTTGTACCACAGATGTGATTTGTGGGAATGGTTGAGAGCTTAGGACGCTGATTCTTATCCTACACTTTTTGAGTTATCAGTAGCTTCTTGGCTCATCATTTCTATGAGAAATGGATTTTAAACTCTGCAGGGAGGACAATTTTGGTATAATTTCTTTCTGGAAGATAAGCTACTTTTAAAATAAAAAACTAAAACCATTATCTTTATTTAGATGTAGAGTTTGGAAGTTCTGCCCTGTAAGATCTTGAAAGCAATTATGTAGAATGTCAAGATATTGATGGTGATACTTGAAAATAAGTAGAATTCTCTGTTTTTATATAAATAAATGTATACACACGCACACAACAAAAATTGTTACCTTCTCAATTTTTTTTTATAAGAATTCTGGTGGCTAATATCACTTTTGATTCATAAAAATATGAAAGCGGGTCACATTAAAATTTCAGTCTTTTTGTTAGGATTTTGTGATAATTAACTTGATGTAGGCCGTGAATCAGCACTAGATTATCTCTTTACTTGTGTTGTCACTCTTTTCCCCACTGTTGCATTTGTTCGGAGTTGAGTGCTGCGCTTTCGGTGGATCCTATTCCTAGCTGCTTTCCCGAAAGATGAAGAGACATCATTATACAATTTGAGGGTAGTTCACATTTAATCTGTTTGTTTATTTATTTATTTTTGCTTGTAAAATTTACTATAGCTGTTTGAACAAATCAATTTTCTCCCTTTTTGAACTAATCCAGAAGAATCTCCACTGTTGGGCAAACCTCTCCCACAATAGAGTTAATGTATATATCAAATTGTTATCTTACCTAAAGAAAACTTATGAAATTCTAGATCAAATGTTTCTTCTGCCTTTGATAGATACTCAAAGGTTATGATTCAGTTGTAAGTTCATCTTTTACCTATAGACTCATCATTTGATTGGAATACGCTAGTAATTTGTAAACTGACTGCATGACACGGGTAATAGTTCATCCGCTCAAAAGAAATGGTGGTTAAATGTTCTTTGAGGAATGTTGCCTTTTAAAATCTTATACAACAACGTGGTTGTACATTAGGAAAGAAACAATATACAATGTGGATAAGCAATGGAACAAATCCTTTTGTAATTAAGGGTATTGTTTCATATAATGGATGACTCACCACAAAAGGAATGAAAATTTAGAGGGTTGATAGCATTTTCTCCAAATGTGTTGCCTTATAGTTTGAAAAATTTCTCTGATCTGTAGCTTGGAAGAGAGAATCCTTGGAGCTTGTTGTTTTCTTTCAGTATCCGGAAAAAGAGAATGCTTTATGAATAATGAAATATATCCTTTTTGTGATTAAGGGTAGTGTTTCCTGCTATGAATGACTCACCATGAAATAGGATTTTACAAGAAGAGATGGTAACGTTTTCTCCAAGCGTGTTGCCAGTTAAAGGTTGAAAATTTCTCTGATCTGGTTGCTTGATATGGAGTACCCAGAGGTGCTTGATGTTAATCTTCATTATCTGGACAAAGAAGAATGCTTTATCTACAACTGTCCTTTCTGTTCCCAAGGCGCTGACCAACAGTTTGAGGTAGGGGAGAATCAATCTGATGATGCCAGGTTCAAATCACAGCTACAACACTTGGTGTGAGGCCATCTACTTTAGTTTTGGTGAGCAAGATTCTTAGCAACTTGTGCTTGTAGGCTGGATAGGTTGTCCGGTGGACTAGTTGAGGTGCATGCAAGTTGGCCCAGAAATTATCGACATCTGCAACCTTTTTTTTTTGGTAACAATATATTCATCAGCACCAAGTTGGTACTGGTATCCAAAAAAAGAATGTACAAATTACAGAGGGCCTTGTATCTTACAAAGAATCTAAGAAATTTACAAGTGATTCTGCATCCTCTATATAGTTCTCTTTACACCAGAATTGAAAAGGCAAAAAATAATTCAGCTTAATTCTTTGTATGGAACTAATTTTATCCTCAAAATATCTACGATTCCTTTCTGTCCACACCGTCCACCATATACATGCTGGCACCATTCTCCACCATAGCTTCTGACTCTTCCTTGTTTCAATATAATTTCAGCACCACAAAAGGTCCTTGGTATTCTTTGGCATTACCCATTGTGTTCCTGCCAGGGAAAGGAATAACTGCAACAGAGTATCAGTTACCTTGCAATGTAGAAAGAGATAGCTGTTGGTTTCTTCTTCCTTCTGACACAAGAAACATCTGGAAGTCATAGGAATCCCCCTTCTCTGCAAAACTTCATGAGTGAGACAAGCTTTCCTGGCCACCAGCCAAGAAAAACATGTGACCTTAAAGGGGGCTTTAATCTTCCATATGTATTTCCATGGCCAACTAGATAATTGAGCACCTTCTAACAAAAAAGAATATGCAGAACTGACTGAAAACCTTCTAGCGTTGGCAAAGCATCTAAAATGTTGTTAATCAATATGATCCTGCCCCCCAAAGATAGATATTGAGCCTTCCATTTTGCTAGTCGCTTCTCACATTTATCAATCACACCATTCCATACTTCCATAGCTTTATTGTTTGCCCCCAGAGCCAAACCCAAATATACAGGAAGCTTCCCAATGTCACAACCCAACACCCCAGCAAGCACCTGATGATTATCAACCATATTGACATGAAATAGTAGACTCTTCCCCAGTTTACATGAAGTCTAGAGATGGCCTCAAAAACTGTAAGAATAAGTCTGATGACCCTTAACTGCTCCAACTTGGCATCACAAAAACTCAGGGTGTCATCAGCATAAAATAAGTGAGAAACCTCCATGCCCTCATTCCTGCTATTCACCTGAAATCCTCTAATCCACCCATTAACACTAAAACTCAGGGTGTCATCAGCATAAAATAAGTGAGAAACCTCCATGCCCTCATTCCTGCTATTCACCTGAAATCCTCTAATCCACCCATTAACACTAAAACTCAGGGTGTCATCAGCATAAAATAAGTGAGAAACCTCCATGCCCTCATTCCTGCTATTCACCTGAAATCCTCTAATCCACCCATTAACACTAAAACTCAGGGTGTCATCAGCATAAAATAAGTGAGAAACCTCCATGCCCTCATTCCTGCTATTCACCTGAAATCCTCTAATCCACCCATTAACACTAAAACTCAGGGTGTCATCAGCATAAAATAAGTGAGAAACCTCCATGCCCTCATTCCTGCTATTCACCTGAAATCCTCTTATCCACCCATTAACACTAGCCATCTTCAACATGCTATTTAAACCCTCCATTGCAATGATAAAGTGGAAAGGAGATAACGGGTCTCCTTGCCTTAAATCCCTTTGAGAAGGGAAAAACTCTCGGGAGTTCCATTGATAAGTACATAAAATTTAACAGTTCTGATACAAAAAGATATCCACTTTAGCCATTTTGTACCAAAACCCATATCCTTCAGAATTAGAATTAGAAAATTCCAGTTGACATGATCATATGCTTTTTCAATATCCAGCTTCCACAAACATCCCGGTGTCTTCCTTTTCATTCTAGTGTCTACTACTTCGACAAGAGTGGGTTGCTCTAGTGGTAAGCACCCTCCACTTCCAACCAAGAGGTTGTGAGTTTGAGTCACCCCAAGAGCAAGGTGGAGAGTTCTTGGAGGGAAGGAGCCGGTGGTCTATCGGAAACAGCCTCTCTACCCCAGGGTAGGGGTAAGGTCTGCGTACACACTACCCTCCCCAGACCCCACTAGTGGGATTATACTGGGTTGTTGTTGTTGTTGTCTACTACTTCATTTGCTATCAAGGCTGCGTCCATAATTTGCCTCCCTTTTATCAATGCCATTTGCTGATTATCAACTAATTTCTCCACCACTTGCTTCCGTATCTCTGTGAACACTTTAGAGATTATGTTATATACACTTCCAATCAGGCTAATTGGTCTGAAATCTCTCAGCTGTTTTGCTCTAGTCTTTTTGGGTATTAATGCCACAAAAGTTGCATTGAAGTTTTTTCCAAAATATTCATGTGAATGGAAATTTCCCAAAGCTTGCATAATGTCCTCTTTTAAAAACTCCCAGCAAGTTTTGAAAGAACCCATGGTATAGCCATCAGGTCCAGGTGCCTTGTCTATAGCACACAACTTAATACTATTCAACACTTCCAACTCTTCAAAGGGTCTTTCTAACCATATCTGCTCTTCCTCTTTTATAATGAGGCTGTTTTGTAGATGAAATCAGGTGTCCATCCTTCAGTTTCTGTATACACCTTTTTATAAAAAGGCAGGATTTCTTCTTTAATACCATTTGAATCACATATCACTTCCCCATTGCTCTCTAAGGTATCAATGCTATTGAATCTTCTATGAGAGTTTGCCATCTTGTGGAAATATTTCGTATTCCTATCTCCATGTTTCAACCATAGTACCCTAGACCTCTGCCTCCAAGCAATCTCCTCAAATTTAGCTATCTCTTCAAATTCCATAGCTAAATTTTCCTTTGTGAGCAATTCATAATCAGAGAGACTCCTTTGTTCTTGTATTATGTCAAAACAACTCACTTGGTTTAAAATATCAACCATCTTTTTCTCTAAACTACCATCGTTTGTTGAATTCCATTCCTTTAACTTGTCTTTGAGAAGCTTCAACTTAGTTGCAAAAACAAAGTCAGGTCTGCCTGTAGCTTCAAATGATTCCCACCAGCCCTTTACTCTATCTTTGAAATTCTCAGTTTCCAACCACCAATTCTCAAATTTGAAGTATGATTTCCTGACCTCCCAATCTCCACACAGAATTTGTATCGGACTGTGATCAGAAACATTCTGGGTAATAAAGATTGTTTGATGTTTGTGAAACTATCATCCTAATCAACAGAAAACAAGAATCTATCAATCCTTGAAGCCAATCTACAGTTATCTCAGCTCATGATCATTTATGAATTTAGAAAATTCAGCCATGTTTTCTTGCATGTGTATTACTGTGCCTCCTCTCATCTGAATATCTTGCAGTGTTGAAATCACCACACACCACCCAAGGATCATCACATAGACCTTTGTGACCAGCTAATTCCCACCATAACTCTCTCCTTTCTCTTCTGCAATTAGATGCATATACCCCTGTTAACAACCATGAATAATTTTGAGCTAAAATTGTCATCTTACAAGAAATTGACTGTTGCCCAATGCACACCAGCTCCCCCTCCATTCTTCTTTTATGACACATGATTAAGATGCCGCCTCTAGTTCCACTGGCCTCTTGATAAACATAATCTACCCATATGGCTCCCCATATTTGAGGTACCATACTACCCGCATCACGTTCTAATTTAGTTTCTTGTAGAACTATTACCTCGGCCTTCCACCTGTGTATCAAAGATTTGACAATTTTTCTGTACCCCATGTCATTAAGGCCCCTCACGTTCCATGAAATTAGGTTTAACTTCATTGGATAGTTCTAAATAGGTTTTCCCCCCACTTCTTGGTTCACCCTCTTTGTATTTCATTCCCCATTTCAAACCCTTCAATTCCCTTTGACATTTTGATTTACTAGTTGAGGCCAAGTTGGGTTAGGTATTTATTACCTACTTTCCCTGCCTTCTCCTATCAATCTTCATGTAAAGTGATAGTGCATCCTATTCATAACCCTGGAAATCGACCCCAAACTTCTTACTAAGTTTCATAACATTCTGGTGAACTCACAAAGAGGCTTCTGAATCAGCTTGTTGAATTTGAACTTCTATAGGATCTGCTTCTTCAATCTGACATGGTATGGGCTGAGAGTAGATAGCGAGTTGATTTCCCCCTCCATCTGATTATTAAGACCACCTATCATTACAATCTCTGTAGAAGATTTAATTGCATCTATTTCCTCCACATGCATGTGCACTAAATCAAGAGTAAGTGGTGTGGGATTAGTTTCACCTTGTTTCTTTATCTTCAGTAGTCACAGTTAAAGAGAGCTTCGCGTAAGAAGAGGCTTGCAATACGCAGGCCATCGGTCTAAAAACACCCCTTTCATAATCTCTTTTGGGATGATTGAATAGACATAAATCTTGACCTCTTTTTAAAGCTAGTTTGGACTGGTATGAAGGCCCAATAATATATGTTTTATCTAAACGGATTTCTTTCCCTTTATTATTTAGCCCAACTTCATTTTCTTGACCCGACTCCACCTCCATCAAATTTAATTCATTAGACCCACTCCCCCCTGACACGTCCTCCAGTTCCCTAGAATCCTCTACCCCACGTGTCCCCTTTTCAAAATTTGAGATCCCCCTAGATGTCCACGTGATGTAGGGTCTGTAACTAGTGGTGGCAAAATGGTTAAAAGAAAACAGTTATCCACCCATATTATTCATTAAAAAATGGGTTGGATAATGAACTATTTAAAAACGAGTCAAATATGGATAAGAACCATATTATCGACTTAGAAAATGGATAATCAATGGATAACTAATGAGATAAACTTTTACATTTGTAAAGCCTCAAATTGGGGGTTCCTCAAGTTTAGGAGACTAAGAATTCTCCCAAAAGTGATCATATTCTAGAAGCCATAATATGGATATCCATATTATCTGCTAATTAACCCTTTTTTATCCGTATTAAATATGGGTCGGGTCGGATAATTTATCCGTATTTTTCATTACCCATTTTAACCCGCCCATATCCGACGCGCCTTGCCCGTTTGCTACCCCCATATGTAACACATCAATGGCCCCCTCATCCCTATCTTTAAAAGATTGGTTAAACTTATTATCCACCGGTCCCTTGCTTTCTTCTTCTCCAACCAAAACTCCTGTCTTCTCCATCACCGTCGCCAGAATCTCGCACGGGATATTATATAAATATCCATCACTTTCCACTTCTATTCTCTGGGGATCTCTTTCCCATCTCCCTTCACTTTGATTCGAGCCCAGTGCAAGTGATTTTTTAGGGTTGTTTCTTCCTCTGTTTCAATCCACCCTCCGCAATAATCTCCAATTTCCTTGAAGACTTTCTCCGACCATAAATTCAGAGGTAGCCCCATGTTATCGCACCAGACTCAGTTTCTGATCAATCACTAAGGAATGATTGAAAAGAAACTATTACTTCTGTAGTTACACCGCCGGAGAAAACTCTTCTATCGCCTGAAAAGAACTAAACCAGTTAAGCCTCGATTTCCATGCCTGGGAGCATTTTGTCTCTCATCCTCTGAAAGTAGTTTTCTCTTTCTATTTTTTTGTCTTCTTCTTTTCTAAAAAAACCCCATCTGCAACCTTTCTACTAGGCTTAGTTGAGCTACTAGATTGAAAACTGCCTGCTTCTGCTGGTAAATTTTTTTCTGATACATTGGCTTAAGTAGGAATGTCTTTCTGGAGTTTCTCTTCTGCCTTACAGTTAGAAGATGATCGACTTACCATACGCAGTGTGAAAATAAGTTATTTAAATTTCAGCATGTAGAGTTTACCTATTCCTTTTTCTTGTGGAAGGAAGTATGGATTTGCCATCACGTGAATAGCTTAAGAATCAAACATAATGCATGCTACATCTTTTGTACTTAGATAGAAGACTTTCTCCCTTGTTCGTCATCATGTAATTGGCTTGTGAACTATGAGAGATGCATCTGCTACTGAGAATGGCTCGGTGATTCTCAAGTTTGTCTATGTACTTACCAAGGCGTATGGGGCGAGACGTATTGATCCATCCTTGCTCGCTAAAAGGATTCTGTTTGGGAGTACAGCAGAATTCATTTTAATAGTTCAATTGATTTGGGAATATCTTTACAGGAAACCAGAACTTTCTGAAGGAAAATCTGGGACCTTTACTTTTCGATAATTTCCGGTGTTGTGAGTGGTTGAAGAGTATTTCTTCTGGCGTACAAGTCTGTGATTATGCTTTGATAAAAGTGTCTAGTTATACTAACTCGTGTGCAACTCCTGTTTCAAAGGTTCATGCTTAAATTCTCTTCAAATGTTCCAGTGCGGTTGGTATTTCCTCAATTAATTTGAAGGCCGGTGAAATGGGTGGAGTTCGTGAACCAAAAAAGTTATCCTTTCTAGAGTTCATCCCTATAGAGTTTTTGAATGATTAGCAATAGCTTTGGAAGGGATCTGGAGACAGGATTTCTTTTTCTTGTTTTGGGGGGGGGGG